ATTTAGGCAACAATTTTCCTTTCTTATTGTTGTCGATAGATTTTTGATGAAATCGCTGCATTTTGAATAGTTTCATTCTTTTAGAAATATGGGTTTCGCAACAATTTTCCATCGTATTTCTTATGTCACTGTTTTTAAGAGATTGGCATATTTCCTTGTCATTTTTTTTATATATATAATACATTTTTATTGATTTTTTTTTATAAAGTTGTTCTGTAGAGTAAAATTCTGCGCGGAATTATATGTTTTTTGAGTTTATTTCATGTTATTTTCTGCTTATTTCACTATTTGTAAGATATTGAAAAGTTTTGCATGATTTTTTTTCTTCAACGGAAAGTTGGTTAATTTCTTTAATAAGATAATTAATATTTGTATTAAGGGATATAGCTTATTTCACTGTAGTTTTTTTCTCTTGAAAATATAAGATATAATATCATTAATTATACTTGCTTTTCAGAATTTTTTGTTTTTTGTATTCTTTTATGTTATTTATTGCTCATTTCACTGTTTTTAAGATATTGAAAAGTTTTGAGTTATTTTTTTAAAAAACCTCCTTTTAAGTTCTTAACCTCCTTTATACCATTTGAGTTCTTAAGATTTTGCAAAGGGAAATTGGTTAATTTATTTATTAGGATAATGTTACAGTTTATGCAGCTGGCCACGAGAGGGCGCAGCGTTTTTTACTTTTAGCTTGTTATATTTTTCTTATCGCATTGCGGATTTTTGAGATAGATGTAGTGGCAACCAAAAAACATGATGAACATTCTAATGTAAGCAAACAATTGTTGTACATAGCTGTAAATAAAGCTTCTGTGTGATAAAAATGAAAAGGAATTACAAGCATTCCTGTGGATATTCATTAAGAAAGGTAAGCAAAAATTCATTTATCGATGTTGTTAAATGTAAATAATAAGAATAAGAAAAAAGATCAAAAGTTGCAACTTGGTGCTGAAATTCCGAGATAACAGTGATCTTTAGATATATTATGATTTAAGTATTTATTATTGTTCGATTAGTGATTGAATGTTGATTATTAAGATGGATAAGTTAAAAGCACTAAAAAAGAAGCTAAGAGCATCACTAACAAGACTGATAGCTAAAATGGAAAGAATAAATAGAATAGAATCGGATAATATTAAATTTGATTTATTAGAAAATGATTTATCCATCTTAAATGAAAATGAAAACGATATACAGATATTGAGCACTGAAATCGAATCTATCCTAACAGATGGAAAAGAGTACAAAACTGAAATACAGGATAGCTTGGAATATAAAAATAAAATTACCTTGTGTAAATCGAAGATCAGTAGAATATTTAGAAATAGAAAATGTGTTAAATTAAGTGAGATGCCATCTAATTCTGCTACTATAGATACGTTAGAGAACACAAATACAAATGGCGCTAAATTTCCGAAACTAACCATAAATAAATTTAAAGGCGAAATATGTGAATTTCAAAGTTTTTAAGCTCAATACGAATCTGCTATACATAATAACTCTGCTTTAAAGGATGTAGACAAATTTAATTACCTCACATCTTTACTAACGGACACAGCTTTAATGTCAATAAAGGGATTACCGTTAGTTGTAGAAAATTATACTAAGGCAATAAATATTCTGAAAGAAAGTCTTGGTAGAAAGGACATTTTAATAAACGCACATATGAATCGCCTGCTGAATTTAAAGCCAGTAAAAAAAATGGATGATATTAAAACATTACGTAATAACTTATATGATAGCTTAGAAATTGAAATTAGAAGCCTTGATTCCCTTAACGTTACTTCGAGTTCTTACAGCTATTTGTTATGCCCACTATTAATGAGAATTACTTCCTAGTGAATTAGTTTTAGAGTTTAATCGATCGTTAATCCCTAAAACAGAAACCCTGACACAGAAACCACAGTGACTAACATTTTGGAATTTCTGAAGAAGGAAGTTGAAAGCAGAGAGCGTACGTTTTTCCAAACATCGCCAAACTATTCCGAGTTTAACATTAGAACCGAACAACATAAACATCAATCGCGAGACCTTATTAAAAGTGAGAATATCATACTGCCTTCAAAAACAAACATTTTGTTCCAGCAGTTGCGTTGTTGAATACGAATATATCATTAGCCGATTCTATATTTTGTGGGAAGATAGAAATTAATCTTTGAAACATTCTACTTCAAACTGCACAATTCCAATTGAGGAAAAAAGAAAAAAAATTAAAAATGGCTAACAGATGCTATTTATGTTTTCGTAAGTCTCATACGTCTGCCCGTTGCAGCTCGGATATACGCTGTGATTTATGTTCATTAAGGTATAATACTATTTTACATGATAATAAATTTGAAAATAAACGGGAAAATAAAGATGAGCTTAAAACAGACAAAGTGGTGGCGTCAATTTCGGAAAGAGATAACAAAAATAGGGTTTATTTACAAACTGAAAATGCAATAGCTTTAGGTCAGAATAGAAGAAAAAATGTAAGACTCATTTTCGATTCTGCCTCTCATAAATATTTCATCTTGACAGAAGTATCAAAACAGTTAAAATTAAGTGTTGTGGGGGAAGAAGAACTTCAAATTTACACCTTCGGCTCTACTGATCCTACAGTTAAAAGGCTAAGAGAGGTTAAGGTTATTCTTAAAGATATATGTGAACCTGGGAAAATAATAATTGAAGCTCTTGAAGCTCCAGAAATTAATCAAGCGGTTATTGGTATGCCAGGAAAGGAAATACTTAATTATTGTAAGGAAAATTCGATAAGACTTGCTGATGCTACAGATATAGGTGTCCATAACTTTCAAATATCAGTATTAATTGGTAATGATTATTGCTGGAAAATAGTCACTGGGAAGGTTAAAAGATTATCTTTATTAAGTGCCTTATTATTAAGTGTCTTGTTGCCTCTGAAACCTTATTTGGTTACACTATAAGCGGAACTGAAGCATTAAGTAATGTTTCTACACTTCATTCCAGAATGACGGTAATGAATGTTGTTGAGAATACTTCACATGCACATGATTTGGAAATTAGTGCAACTCTAAAAAGGCTATGGGATTTAGATGCAATTGGAATACATGACTATTCAACAAATGAAAATGACACTGAAGTTAGGCGGAGATTAGAAGAAACTATTGAATATAAAACCAATCGTTATGAAGTTTCATTACCTTGGAAGGACAATATGAACAAAGTGGGTAGTAATTATAACATCGCGTTAAACAGATGAAGCAGTTTACTTAGAAGGTTTAAGAAAAATCCTGAAATTTATGACAAGTATTCAAGGGTAATTGAAGATTATCTAAATAAAGGAATAGCTGAAAAGGCTCCGAGGAATTCTGAAGAAAACATTTATTATTTGCCACACCATTGTGTAATCAGAGAAGATCACGATTCTACGAAATTAAGGGACGTATTTGATGCTTTCTCGCATATTTATGACAGTCTACCTTTAAATGATTGCCTACATTCAGGATTAAATTTAAACCCTGAATTATTAGATTTGCTAATTAAATTTCGTCAACACAAAATAGCATTTGCTGCAGATATAGAAGCTGCTTTTCTACAAATTCTGTTGAAGCCTGACGACAGAAATGCAGTAAGATTTCTTTGGACTTCAAAGGAAAAGGAGCAACCGACGATTTTAAGAATGACGCGTGTAATATTCGGAGCAACCTGTAGCCCCTTTTTACTAGCAGCAACTATGAAGCATCACGCAAGAAAGTTGAAAGCACAATATTCGAAGATCTGTCAGCTTCTTGAAGAAACTTTTTACGTAGATGATTTGATTCATAGTACAGATGATGAAGAAGAAGATGCAGAAATTTATGAAGATGTGAAACGGATTATGATGCTTGCTAGTTCCAATATGAGAAAGTGGAGGAGCAATAACGCCCAATTACATGCGATTTTGAATGCAGCTGAAAATACGAAGTTTAATGGAGACGGAATGAATAGCACTTTGTTAGGATATATTTGGAATCATGAAGCAGATAAACTGAAATTTCGAATCAAAGATGAATTACTCAAGGATCCGGCTGAGGAAATAACAAAACGGAAGATTCTTCAAGTTGCAGGCGAACTATACGATCCTATCGGTTTCATATCTCCCTTTGTTTGTGGTTGCTAAAATGATGATGCAAGAATGTTGGCAAAGAGGTTACCAATGGGATGCACCACTTGATCAGGAATTGCAGAAACGATTTAAAACCTGGTATAATGAAATTCCTAAATTAAAAAATTTTGAAATTCCAAGACATTATTTCAACAATCTGTCAAAAGGTATCTGTCGAATATTCAATTGCACTGTTTTACAGATAGTAGCTAAAAGGGATATGGTACCGTTGTATATTTGAGATACAATGAAAATGAGTTAACAAAAACATCATTTGTTATGTCCAAAGCAAGAGTTGCTTCCATAAAAAGGGTTACGTTACCTCGACTGGAGCTTTTACGAACAGTCATAGGGCTCGACTCATCACATACATTCGACATTCGTTGAAACACATAGAAATGAAGATTTATATGTGGACAGATTCAGAAATTGTACTACATTGGGTCAAGGCTGATCCGACAAAATGGAAACCATTTGTACGAAATAGGTGTCTAGAAATCCAAGAGAAAACTGATCCAGATTGGTGGAATTATTGTCCCAGCCATGAGAATACTTCGGACGTATTGACGAGAGGACAGAAGGTAGAAACCCTTTCAAAAAATGAACTGTGGTGGTATGGCCCACCTTGGCTTATCAAAGATAACAAGGTTTGGCACAGATCTTCGAGAAATTTTAATGAAGATGATAAAATAACAAATTCTGAGAAACGAAAAGGAAAGAAGCAAGAAATCTTAACAGCACACTGTATTGTTGAAAACAGCGAACCTATCATTCCTATCGAGAACATCAGTGACATAAAGAAAGTATACAGAATAACATCATATGTTTTCAGAATTAATCAATAATGTGAAAAATCCAAAACTAAGAATTGGACCTGTTAAGGCTGAAGAGATGAATGAAGCAGAGAATTTCTGGATCAAGAAAACAAGACGAAAATTTTAGAGAAGAAATGAGGAAATTAAAGGTGAAACAAAGCATACATAGTTCGAAAATATTTACATTAAATCCATTTGTAGACTTAAATGGAATACTCAAAGTAGGAGGAAGACTTCAAAATGCTGGGTTAAGCTATAATCAAACATACCCAGCAGTACTACCTGAGAAGTCTCATTTCACAGATCATATCATTAAAGATTGTCACGAAACGCAAACACACGCTGGTGTAGCTGAAACTTTAACTCAAATTAGGGAAACATTTTGGATACTTAAGGGTCGACAGCGTGTAAAGAGTAATATTAACAAGTGTGTGATTTGCTACAGATTTAAAGCGAAGCCACTAAGTCAGGATATCGCTCCTTTACCAACCGAAAGAATAACAGAGGCAAATCCCTTCGAAGTTGTAGAACTTGATTTTTCTGGTCCTATGAGTACAAAGGATGAAACTGGGAAAGCTTATATTGCTCTGTATACATACGCTGTAACAAGAGCAGTGCATCTGGAACTAGTGTCTAGCCAAACAGCAAACAAATTTCTTCTGTCCTAAGAAGATTTATTTCAAGAATAGGAGTATGTCGAATAATATATTCAGACAAATGCAAAAACCTTCAAAAAAGCAGACAAGGATTTGAAAAAACTATGGAATACCATCAAAGGACACAGAGGTTCAAAATTAAATTATTTGGTAATAAAGATATTGAGTGGAAATTCAATGTGGAGAAGGCGGCTTGGTGGGGCGGTTTCTGGGAAAGGCTTGTTTAGATCTATCAAGTCATGTTTGAAGAAAATACTTCATGAAGGCTTCACTTTAAATTTGAAGAGCTGGAAACAGTTTTAATTGAAATTGAGGCAATATTGAATTCACGCCTGAATTCACGTCCACTGACGTATGTTTATAGTGAAGTTGGAGAACCAAGAACCGCTTACAACCAGCTCATTTTTAGTTGGACGAAGACTGACATCCTTACCATCTGGCAAATTCTTGAACTTGAACCCGATTCAACTAAAGAAAATTTAACAAAGGCGATATAAATACGGCTAAGGTTATTAGAAGAGTTTTGGAAAAGATGGAAAGAATGAATACTTACTTGAAATTAGAAACGTAAAACAAATTCAGAGAGGTAGTGCTGTGTAACAGATCTTTTGAAAGGCTCTGCAGTTCTAGTACATGAAGAAAAAATTACCAAGATTATTATGGAAGATGGGAGTTGTACAGGAGTGTCATCCAGATGGGAAAATAAGGGCTTGCTCTGTCCGTTTAGCTAATGGAGCTCATCTTCGTCGTCCTGTGCAGTTATTGTACCCATTAGAAATGACTTGAACTCTTTGAACTGAATACAGTGAACGTAAATTGCGAACACTGCATCTATGAACATTTAAACTTGTAGAACATTAAAAACATAATTATTCATTGTAATTGTGTTATACGTAATAAATTTTTTTAACATAACTTCAGAGTTCAATCCTTTGATAATTATTTCATTGTAATTTTGTTATACGTAATAACTTTCTTTAAGATAACTTCAGAGTCCAATCCTTTGATGAACCAAGAGTTCATCGAGGGGGAGGATGTTACAGTTTACGCAGCTGGCCACGAGAGGGCGCAGCGTTTTTTACTTTTAGCTTGTTATATTTTTCTTATCGCATTGCGGATTTTAGATGTAGTGGCAACCAAAAAACATGATGAACATTCTAATGTAAGCAGACAATTGTTTTACATAGCTGTAAATAAAGCTTCTGTGTGATAAAAATGAAAAGGAATTCCAAGCGTTCCTGGGGATATTCATCAAGAAAGGTAAGCAAAAATTCACTTATGGATGTTGTTAAATGTAAATAATAAGAATAAGGAAAAAGATCAAAACTTGCAACAGATAATTAATATTTGCATTAAGGGATATTCCTTATTTCATTGTAATTTTGTTATACGTAATAACTTTTTTAATGAAGTTGTTCTGCAGAGTAAAATTCTAAGCAGTTTTTAAATTTAACATTTGATGTTCCCGTCAGCCATTTTCCGGTACATTTAAAAGCCAGACGAAGGCTGGCAGCGAAGCTGCTAGTACTATATAGATTGGTACTCAAGAAACATTGTTATTCATTACGACAGCGTATTTTAATTTGCATTAGTTAGATATATTATTAAAAAACTAAAGTTTTAAATGATTTCTTGTAAATATCGATTTTTTAAGTAATTACAGTCTGGTTAAATTGGAAAAAGATAAATTGAAAATCTTGTTGTTTTACCAAACAGCAATGCACCGAGAACTGGTTATTTGAGAGGGGCAGTGTTCCGTCTTTTTGGTAGATAGGTGGCGCTCTTGATGCGCGACGATGAAAAATATAGCACTTGACGCTTGAACATGAAGAATGACGCATGTCATATTTTTGTGATGCTTGATTATGTTTCATGGCCGCTATAGGCGGAAGTAATATAAGTAATATAAGTTTATCGTTAATAAATGTTATTTCTATGTTCTGTGAAATCTTGAAGTTTTGATTTGAAATTCTAATGCTCTCCCAACCTTGACTCCTGAAACGAAACGATCTTTGAAATTATGACTCATGAAGAGAGACACCATACAGGCAGAAAAGGTAAAATAAACACCTTACCTTTCGTCCAGTAGCAATACTTGCCAAGACGATATATCCATGACAGGGTAACATAACTTAAAGGTTCGCAAATATTACGAACGCTCCACTAAGTATGCCTTCAAACATTAAAAATCTAATGTTTGGCTGCATAGCTGTATTCTGAAAACCGTGAATGCGTGGATCCAGAGTGCAAGATAAATTAAAGATGTTATGTTTTGCGAAGCGGCAACACCTACGTTTGACAATGATTGATGTATGCATTAAAGAGTTCTTGTAGGGATTTACCTTCCTTGTCTGACAGTAACATTAAAACAAACACACGAATTTAATCATGGCCAGGAACATAGGACTGCATCCAACGTTGGAATGAGCCTTGAGCACCGTATAGGTGAGAGTTCGATTCTTCTACCCTCAAACCACTCAAGGGAAATTTCCGCTCGCAGAATATTTTAAGTACCTCCATACCCGCAAAGACTCAATACACTTATCCAAGCCTTCTTCAGGATTAGAGCCGGGGCCCAACGATACGTCAGTCAGCGTCACTAACATCTATGCCAGTTAGGACGGTACGTATTATTGTGTAACGCAAAATAACGGTTTAAATATTTTTGAAGAACTTTCTACCATCAAAACTGAGGACATTCCTAGGACTGAAAATGTTTATATCTTCAGAATCGAACGGGTGCAATAAATTCAGGGTTATAAATTCCTAATTATATGAAGTCTATTTTGTGGTGCGCAAAGCATTTTTATTAATTTGCATTTTTAGAAATTCAATAAACATTTTGAACGAACAAATTGCGAAAATAATAAGGAACTGATCAAAGAAAAGAATGCCGAATTACTATGTTGTACACTAAAAGCACTGCTATTTGCATCATATACGAAAATCAGAAACTGAAAATTATCTTTGCACGTTTTTTTTTTTTTTTTAAATTTCTTTTGAACTGATTACTTTGGGATATATTTAGTAAACTTAATCCTTATATGAGACACATTTACGAGCAGCTGTACAAAACATAAAAGAACTGAGGCGAGTGCTTAACATTTAAACATATCTAGGGTTTTTTCATGGTTGTCTTACGACTAAATTTCAACATTTTCTTAATGTTGCTGAAATATTTAAAAAATCCTTTAGGCAAACATTCTATGAGATTTTTTGTTCTTTAGTCCGCATTTAATAAATATCTTTTGTCATAAACTGTTTACTCAGTACTTTTCAAAATACGGTCTTTAGAACCTTACATAGTAGGAAATATGTCTTACAATAAGTAACAGTGTCTGTAAATATGAATAAAAAAGCTTCTATCGCTTTTCGAGATTCAAGCGTAAACAATACTTTTCACTTCGTTTAAACAAGTTTTTCTGTTAAGCCTGCCTTGGAAAATGAGATGAAGACTTTTTCTCCGTGAAAATTCTTTAAACAGAGAGAGATTTTTAATACTCCAACTCTCGCTTAATTGAATATTTTCTGAGACATATTAATTTAACGCATTTTTAATTATTTGCGTCTGAAACAGGGAATACTTTGACATTTTAAATTTAACAAAATATAAATAAAGGGAGTGAATATAAATATCTTACCGCATACTTTCACGCTTTTGTATCTAAGGAGAGTTTATTAATTTATAATTTTACAAGCTATTTAACATTTAGTTTCTGACTAAATACGTAGCAGTGTAGTGAAGCGAATTTTGTTAAACTGATACTGGTAATTAACTCCTCACTGCATTGTGTAGTAAATTTAACGATCAAATTACTATTTTAATACATTCTAATTTCAGTTTTTGAAATTAAGAGATACACTACTGAAGGGTTTCATTTTTTTTTTCTTTACGTAACGTTATTTATGGTATTATATATACATCATGATAGCATAACCTAACCTAACGTAACGATCACCTTGGCAAGTGTTGTCATTGGCGAGAAGCATAAAATATTTATTTTCACTGGCCTCGCATATAAACAATTCTCATAGTATTTCCATTTTCAAAAAACAGGAGAACTGTAATTAATCTTTCGAACTTGACTATTCGGACAAATTAAAAATTAAAAATGTATTTCTTTATAAGGTATTTACGTTAATGAACCAGTTATTTTGTGTTCTGAATCTATACTGTCACCTAACCAGTTATTGTATGTTCCGAATCTATACTGTCACTTCTCGCTTTCCATTTTCCCGCCAGAATGCAAATTAGCTTGAGTGTATTTAAGTGACGATGGGAGATTGTTTTAACCACAGCGTGTTTAGCCTGCTGAAGGCCACTCTATTTCTTGTTCTATGATAAGCATTCTTGTCTACGGCGTTGCTTTATTCTTGCAGAAGGTGCTCTCATTGCTGTAGGTTAAGAGAAAACTTGCGCGTTTAAATATTTCTGCGTAGCCTTTGGCTAATAAAGACTTAGATTTAGTATTAATTTAAACTTCCACTTTTGAGTTCCCTCCTCAATGCTGGCTGATTTGTAAGCACCGGGCGTGCCTTCCGTTCAACTTACTGAATTCTTAACAAAGGGTCTTTTGCACATTTTTATTAAGAACATCTCTGTTATACTTCCCAAGACTTAATGATAAGTCACTGACAGTCTTAGTTAGTTATGAGTCTTGGTGTACGTTACCAAATTAAGTGAGACTCTTCATCTGCATCTTAATACCTTTAATTATAAAGTATTTCTCTCGTCTTCTTAGCATGCTTTCGTGGTGTAAAGGTCAGCACACTCGGCGCGTACTCGAGAGGTCCGAGGTTCGAGTCCCGGCGAGAGCATTGCTTATTTTCCATGTGTCCTGCTTCAATGTCTCCACAGTGGCGCCCGAACTAAAGAAGGTGGTGGATGATGATTCTGCCCCACCAGGATTTGGCGATTGAGTCCCCTAATCCCCAGTCGCCCTTTAAAAGGGGGATATATAAGGTATTTCCCCCGCCTTCTTAGCATGCCTTCGGTGTGTAGTGGTCATCAC